GACAGTTGAGTTAGGACTGGGCCCAGGATATCCCAAACAAATATGGCGGCGACGCAACCTTTTTGTCTTTTTTTTATCCACAGTGTGTGTCTGAAATCAGAACAAATGAATCTTGAGCGACCCTGGGGCTGACCAGAAATACATCATTTATTTTATTGGCCTTACTGAGCACTGATTTGGTTCTTATCAATGAATACAGCCATTACGTATATATTGGCTCATAGTTACACGAATAACCCAACACTCATGCATGGCTCAAGCGAATTTTATGAAAGATTATACAGAATACCATGACTACCATCGTCACTGGGCGTACTGACGATCGAAATCAGTCACGCAAACATATATACACTGGCACGAATTCGTAGAACTACCATAATAACGTCACCAACGCCGTTATACCTTTCGAGTTCTCGTGTTCTCCGAGTTCATACGCCGTGTACAAATGTACGAGTAGTCAAAATATGATATATAGGGCCAGAGAATAAGTAAAAACACACGAAGCATCAGTTTTGAAATTAAAACCGGTGACGAATAATTGTCCCAAACCTAATATATTGAAACGAAAACAGTAGACCCGTGCATGCCATTGGGTGGCCATATACGAACCTTATATATAGCTACGATGAAAGAGACTAATACGTGTATACGGCAAACTGACTTGGAGAAACTGTTGACATAACACATGAACTGTGCAATAATGTGTAAAGAAAGAATCAAAATGTGACGATAGACTCAGGTTACATGACGTCACGGACCACAATAGAAAGCATCAGACCAGGGCACTCGACAGTTTTACACTTGTGGAACTGACGTCATTATGTGCCAGTATGTTTACCTGTAGATACACATATCAGCGCGTGACATATTATGCTATCCCACAAATATAGCAACAGTGTAATGGTCACCTGTTTTTACTATAGGATTAGTAAAATCTTCCCATGTAATCACGCCACAGTGAGGTAATGCTTTTGGGGGTAGAATGCATCAAGTTCAGTTTACCTGGATACTATGAGATTATTGACATTTATCATAGTTACAAAACTGATGGATAGTCTGTTGCTATGAACAGATTGTGATGACCTGAGAGGCGAGGTGTTTACTTTTAGGATACCGACGCTTCACATGTTCCAACAGGGTCGAAACTAAATGCCATGGTTGTAGTTATTCTGCCTCAGAGCATAGAAAATTGTGGTCTAACTAACCCCTCCCTATCCTCATTCCAATGTAGATAAACGTGGCCGTTTTAAACATTCTGGTCATTTTTCAGTTAAAAGAAGCTGTATGATGGTGGTACTTTGTGCTGTAATAAGTTCCTACTAATTGCTAAATGTCAGATTCCCAATTCATCGGTCACTGTTGCATTTGCGACACATCGTATATGGTGTTTGACATCTCTGAATTGCAATCCTGTCGGTATCTTTGCCACAAAATACCACGACGGACGTGCGTATTCATCCTTTTTGTTTCCACTAGATCAAAGATTGAGGTTACACCCGTCGGTTGAACCAGAGTCACTGCTGCAATCAACTTAAATTACGTAAATTATTGACAATATGGCACATTGTATAACGCACTGCAGG